GAATGCAGGCAACAAGGAAGAAGGATCACTCGACACTGCGTGTCTTGAGGCGGCGTTGCCCCAGCGTCCAAAACAAAATAAGCCAACGAGAGAAAAGAGACAAGACAGAAAAACAAACAAAACAAAATTAAGTGAAAGTTTTCTGAGGTACATCTGCAATTGTCGGAAGGCAAAAAAAAAAAGGCAAAAAAAACAAAACAGAATAATGCAAAACGGAAGGTGACAGAAAAAAAAACAAAAGCAAAACGTCGGCGAGACGGATGGCACAAAAGACCAAAATAGGCCGATTGGTAAATGAAAACGACGACGCTAAGAAGAAACGGTGGGAACAGCCGACGGTAAGGAGTCAGCAAGGAGCGGAGTGCGACCACGGTTGGTTGTCGCCCAGAGGGCGCGAACCATGTTTCTGTTAAAACCATGATCCACAGACGGCGTCCAAGGCGGTGTAGTAGAGGTGCGCAGGCAGAGGGAGAACGCTTGGGCCAGGGTCATCCAAGAATCGAACGATGTACGAGTCGCCCTGATGAGCACCAATACGTCCGGTCCACCACAATCCATCACGGGCCTTGTACCACAGCCGCGCGCCAACAGGGAGGGGCGAAGTGCTGAAACGACGAAGCCAAGTCGCGTGAAGCACAAGATCAGCCCCAGTAGGCAAATAGCGTTCTCCACGATTCCGGGCTAGCTCCCGCTGTCCCGCGCGAGTCCGAGCCACTCGATATGTATGTACGGTTACCCTGCTTGCTTTGGCAGACCTGCGGGACCAGTACAAGAGGATGTGTCGACGGCATAGATCAAGGTCGGATTCCCGTTCCCATGAAGGAGTAGTCAGGCCTACCCAATGCGTCTGGTACAGGACAGCGAGAACGCCACTACGGCCCCGCACCAGTTGATGTCCGGAGATGTAGTCGACGTCGAGGCGCCCGACAGGCACCGAAACATCATCCGCGGTNGCACCGACACATCATCCGCGGTGACGTGGAAAGGTGGACATTTATCTCCGGAAGAGTGCAGAACATAACGCGAAAGCCCGGCGGGAAGAGATTGCGGCGAGTCGTCCGTCTCGTACGGATTGCGACAGGGCTTGCAACGAAGGACAGACACGCGACAACGAGCTGCCGGGCCGGAAAGATCGGAAGGCAGGTCCAGGTAGAGGAGTTAATGCGCCAACGGGCGGCCGTCCGGAGTGGCGTCGGCAGAGGTGGGACCCACCGCAAGAACTTTGAAGGGCCCTGTCCAGGAAAGTGCGAATTTTGGCCTTGAGCACTTGTTGGTCCGTGGCCTTCTGCACACCCTGTCGAATTGTAGCAGCCGTGTTGTACACCCAAGCCCACCCGCCAACGGTAAACTGAGGGAGCTTGTGGATGGCGTCCAGCAGGGATGAATTTTGGCGTTCGACTCGCGAAATCTTCAGCGCGTTGTACTCACGGAAAAGTTCGTAGGCCCGGCGCTGGCGATCGACAGCCAGGTTGCAATACTCGAGTTGATCGCGGGCCAAGCTTTGATGACCACCTACCGTGGGACGATCGAAGACCGAAGCGGGAGTCGCGGGATGCGTCCGATGTGGATCTCGTATGGCGCTAATCCAGTAGACTGGTTCACGGACTTGTTGTAGGCAAACTCAACGTGCGATGTATGTCCCAATCGTTTTTCTGTTCGTTGACGACCACCGCAAGCATCTGGGCCATCGTGTGGTTGACGCGTTCCGTGCCGCCGTTGGTCTGTGGGTGGT